CCCCAAAACCCCAAAACCCCAAAACCCCAAAACCCCGACAGTCAAATCCTAGCATAATAGTGGAATTTAAAATATAAATTTAAATGTCTTAGTTACCTTTCAGTTAAAAAATGTCAAATTAAGAAATGATAATCAATAATGATTCTAATTTATAAAGCTTTAACAATACACTACAATTTTAGAAGATACTATAAATGTTAAAGCATTTATCAATTAATGATAATGTTAGCATTTATAAGATTATTGCATACCTTTAATAGATCGTACTTTCTATTTTACTTTCTATTCTAAATAACCAATTTTCGTGTAGTCACCTGATCAAGAAATTGATGGAGACTATCTAAGATTAGTAATAAAAAGATATTCAGAAAGTGAATCTATATATGATGAGATCTCACTTATGAAATTTATCAATGCCTATTTAACTGAAGAGCAAACGATAAGATACTAGTTGAATAAGTAGATAAAGCAGTTTGAAAATAGTAATCAATAGAAAAACGAAATTAAATATAAATTACTTGAGAATCAAAGAGATGAGAAATTAAATGAGGAGGGAATCATGGAAGACAGTTAGTTAAATCTTGACATTATAGATATGAAAATAGAAAACTTAAGGTAAAATAGTCCAGATGTGTTTGTGTATTTAATGATAACAACTGATGGGAATTAAGTGAAGACAAAGCCAAAGAAACAAGATCTAAATATTACTTTTGAGGAAGGCTTTATCTTGTAAGTTTGATTCTTTAACCAATTTCCAGGTAGATTGATTCACCGACTTAAATCATAGAACTTAGCGTTATTACCATTAAAAATGCAGGTACTTATAGATTCCTATTCATTTATACATAGATCACTCTCTAGTAGCAAAGGAGAGGATTTCGTTAGACCATTTTAGTTCCCAATTTTAGAAGCAAAACATTATTAGGATAAAATCACAAAATGGTCTGATCTATGAAATTTTTATTATGGGACTGTGGGTATTCTCTAGGGTTAAATACTACTCAGACATTTTGGAATCATGGGAACCTAAGATTAAATAGACTAGTGAATAGATTAAAATGTTGTCAGCTGATCTTAAAAAAATTAGACAGCCATTTCAAAGTATGTGGGATTAGATTTAATAAGAGGATCCTGAGTTTAGTGGAAATATATTGGAGAATCCGCAGAATAATAATTTTGAATAAGGTGGTCACTTTAGTTATTCAGCCATTATGATCACAGATGTGCCGATGGAAGAAATGACAAAGTATTGCTTTGGTATATACACTATTTTCACTATTCTCTCAATGATTTATAGACCAGATTTCTTTAATTTGACAGTAGCGATATTTGGATCAATTTTAAGTTTTGACAGTACAAAGCATCTTCATTAGCATAAAGACAGTTAATTTTACCTTAAAATGTTCTGCCTATCGATTGCAACAATACTCTATGATGTTGTATTTCTTATACAAGTAACCTCTGTATGGACTAGCTATCAGAATGCTTAAGATGGTGGGGTTACTTTGAATCTAAGGAGAGCTTCACTAGCTATGAGCTATATTTCCCTATTTTTCAGAATCGGAATTGTTTACTTATTTTGGAGATTGTATGATAAGAGTAAGACAAACCCGCACCTTAGGAAAATAGGAGGAGTCTGAATTTTTAAAACTTTAATGCTACCTTAAAAATAAAATTTTTTTTCATTAATCTTAATTCAATAATAGCTAAAGAGTTAATAATAATTGATAGAACGGGGTTTTGGGGTTTTGGGGTTTTGGGG